ACGGAGAGCGTGCAAGAGTAGCACAGTCAATCGAAGGGCGCGCGAAGCTGTTGAAAATCTGTTCAAGTCTTTCCTGTGATGTGATGCATTCAGATGCATCGAGTGATCTCAACCATTCCCACCCCACCTTGTATCTTTCTCTCTCCAATGGCACAGAACCAGGGTTTGCATAGCAACTTTACTGTCACTTTGACTGCCTCGAGCTCCTCTACAAGTGTCAATATGGTTTTCACCGCCACGGATTCATTGGCGAACGGTTGACATAGAAGTTACCAATTTGGCCCTCCACCATTGGTCACGATAAAAGTCGTGGTTAGTCTTTCTTGATTTTTAGAGGTTTCTCAACCGGGTTTGATACGATGGATTCCTGGCAATATTTCATGATTTCATATCTTCCGTGTGTATCACTACTTGGACATGTGAAATTAAATCTCGGTTCGTGTTGATGGAGTCACTTTGAGGGCAACGCTATTGAACTCAGGCGTGCCACAAGGTTACATGAATTCTACATTAATCTCTCTATTGATAGCCATTTATCCCAAATTCTTATTAATACCTATGCTTTTTCAATAGTACCATTCTCCATTGTTCGCCTTCGTACAACATTTCCCGAACTACCTCTGATGTAATCACACACGATCGATTGTCTGCTCGTGTTTCACTCGGACTGAACCCAAGTGACATGTCTGCTTGGAGTACCAAGAATCGAGTCGTTCCCATTGAAGCCAAAACCTCTCGCATGAAGTATCCCGCAAATACAATCCTTGTGCCCCCAATCTGCATTCTGACTGTTGTCAAATATGCTTCAAATATTCCACAGTTTCACGCGGCCTCCAATTTTCCTCTTCCATATATTGTTTTCTCTAACTGTTGAAATTGCATTCCGTCTAACGGGGAAGATTCCTTCCTTTTCCTGACGAGGCGATTTTTCAAGCGATCACAATAGTTTAGTTATCCTTACCAGATGACATTAAAACTTATCGAATGCTGTTGTTTACATTTTATTTTTCTACGAAGCCCGAAATTGTAGCACACTCTTCCTTGTTCTGCTTTCTCTCCCTCTCTTAACCTTTCTATATTCAAGCGTAGAATCCACAAGTTGTGCCTGGGATGAATATTTCTGGCTTTCCACTACATATTAACCTTTAGGATTACTGGATTTGCATATTTGCTGTACATGAAACTTGTGTACTAAAAAGGTTGTATATCCTACACTACAGAGGGTTCTTCGGGCGATAGCAAGAGGAGAGGAAGTTACCATTCATTTCTCGATCCCTGATTTCTGCACTGATCAGTGCCGTAGGTGTGAATTCGTCGTTCAACTGATACTGCGTACACTGTACAAAAGTCAGTCAACGTTTTATTATAGGCAACACTTACAAACAGTTGCTTTCTGTGACCGATAAGGTTTTGCGCACCATTGAATCCATTTACAGATCATAGAAAGAGAAAGAAGGGCACAAATTTTCTTTGTTTCGTGTACTGCTAAGGATGTCCAAGTTTAAGACTTGACAATATTTCATCCAGTTTGTGCTTGAAAGAATCAGTTGTGGGCGCGGAAGTAACGTGAGGTGTTGAAGAATTCCAAATACTTCACACGCTGAGGGCAAATGAATGACGCCAGCATTCTAGTCGACATTTGAATGACTGTCCCCTGAGGTGAGTGTTGAGTGATAATACGCACAACGAACGACGTGGGTGATCAGGGTTCTGTATTATTTGATACACCAAAATTAAGTAATCTCGAGATCGACGATACTGTGTGAAGTACAGTCCCAATGATCTCAGTCTTTTCACACAAGCCTTGGAATGCAGTCCCTTGACCATCTTGGTGGTCATTCTTTGTGGACGTTCCAGAATCTTACGATCGCGTTGCAACCATGGATTTCACGCTTGAATGGCGTACTCTATGTGAGGTCGAACATAGGCTGATAACAGACATGGGAGAAGCATGTGTGCGAATTTGCTCAATAATCTTCGCTTCAGAAAACCGGCATGTCTTGCAGTGTCGGAAGAGGTCCTGGAGTACTTCGAAGAACGACTTAGGTGGTCTTGAACGATGACATAGAGATCCTTCTCATTTGAGGGATACGAGCGTTGTTGATAGCCCAGGGAATACGGAAACCGCGTTTTGTGGTAAAGGTATCGATCAATCAACCATTATAAAGTTCAAACAGAAGCCATGTGACTCGAAGAAGAAGAACGGCGATTGGATGATACTTATTAATATTTCTATATTCCTATTATTTAATCCCATTGGTTTCCGTCAATTGGCCAATCGCTACTTTTGAGGCCTTTTTCTTGCGTCTCGGTGACGGAATATTCCAGCCTGCGATTGCTAGAGCAATTATGTGCTTCAGTTGCGACCGTGATTCCTGATCCGTAATTCTTACCTATTCCCACTATTACAAAACTCCTGTGCGATTTTCTAACAAGTGATATTCTTCAATTATTCTCTTCGATATACATACGCGATTCACAGCGAGAGAAGTCGGTACAAGGGATATAAGTCGATCAAATTTCGTGGCTGTGATTACAGCAGTACCGGAATCAGGTTACAGTATTAGCACAACTCCGGTTTCAAAGTCTTTATGTTGGATGCTTCAACAGTTAATGTAATCTTCTTAGACCACCTCTTGTTGTGGTCCTTAGATGATGCGAAAAATTTGCGAACTCTTTCTGGGGTCAAACACCCGTGCCCACCATCAACCAGGTGTGGCAGGGTCGAGCTGTCCTATTTTCTCACTGTTCTGTTTTAAGATATTTTTATCATTTCACTTATTCTCTTAAAAATGTGCTTCATTCCATATTTGATCACTACATGTGCACTACACGGGCGTTGGTGGCCAAGTGGTTAGAGCACCAATTACTGACCTGGGTGTCCCGGGTTCAAACCGCTTCACCGCCGCCCGTCTTCCCTATATCTGTAATTTCCCCTGTATTTTCTCTAGGCAGCCTTTGTATGGCCGCAGCCCCCTTCCTGAAAGATGAATGTACATTTGTATGTTCAATAAATAGAAAAAGGAAGTAAAAAGACATTTACCGTATTTTTCGGACCATAAGGCGC